AGTGCAGTGGCATCATCATAGCTCACTGCAACCTCCAACTCCTGGGCTCAAGCGATCCTTCTGCCTCAGCCTCCCGAGTAGCTGGGACTAGAGGTGTGCACGACCGTGCCTGGCTAACTTTTTTCTATTTTTGGTAGAGACAGGGTCTCGCTCTTGCTCAGGCTGATCTCGAACTCCTGACCTCAAGCGATCTTCCTGCTTCGCCTCCCAGAGTGCTAGGATTACAGGTGTGAACCACCGTGCCCGGCCTTAAACCTTATAATTTTTTATGAGATAGTTTCCATTATCATCACTATTTTACAGTGAGGAAACTGAGGCAGAGAGAAGTGATATAACTTTCCAAAGACACAAAGCTATAGGTGGAGGAGCTTGGTGCTGAACCCCAAGCAGCCCAACTTCACAGCTGTGCTGTTAACTCCAGTGATGAAGTTCTCTTTTTGGTAGCAAGTGAGAGAGGTGATTTGCCAGGATCATAGCTAAGCTGGGTATTATGGTGAATGCAGAAAGGAAACTCATGTCTATCTGACTCCATGGCCCATTCTCTTTTCACTTTCGGCTTCCATGTACTGAGTCATTATTCTTACAGTCATTTGGGAAGGGGGTGAGAACGAGAATTATTTTCTTATGTAAATGTCTTTATATCCTAGGTTCTAGATTATCTCTCACTAGAAATTATCTAAATAACAACAACACTTACAGCTAGCATATATTGAGAGCTTTCTATATGTCAGGCACTGTGTTAAATACTTCACATAAGTCCTCTAATTTAATCCTCACAGACGCCCTGTGAGTTAGGTAACTTATTTACCACTCTCATTTTACAGATGAGGAAAGTGAGACTTAGAAGGGTTAATAACATCAGTAAATAAGGGAAGAGCTAGGATTTGACTCCAGGCAGTCTGATGAGACAGCTAATGCTTTTACTATTTTTACTATTTTTACTATTTTACTATTTTACCACTTACTATTTAAATTCCTTTGGTTACAACTGTATCTTTTGCTGTTCCTCTACACAAACGAATAATAGCTAGGGCTTACTGAGCATACTATGTCATTTACCTTTTTAAACCACCCCACGAGATAGGCATAGCTATCCCCACTTTTCGGTAGAGGTAACTAAAATTCCATTACAGTCAGGCAATTTACCTGGCCTCAAAAGTGGGCTGGTCAGGAGGTTAATCCAGGTCTACTTAATTCAAAAACGTATGTTCTCTCCACCGTTCATATCACTGTCCTCATAAACGTGGCTTTTCTATACCTGGTTCCCTGCTACTAGTCTCTTCTTGCTCTGCTCTACCCTGCAAATTTTGGCTAGTTACTTTTCTAAAATGCCAATCTGATAGGTCGCTTCCCGGCAAGAATGACCTATGGTTCTCCAGTGCACACATGTGAAAGGATAAACTCTTTTGTTACAGCAAGTGAGGCCCTTTACAACCTGGCTCCAAGACACTTGCCAACCACATGTCCCCAAACTCCCTTCCATATGCCTCTCTCCTCAGAAGAACTTGTTTACTGGCAATTCTCAAAGTACGTCATATTGTTCATAAACCAGTAAGGCACAGTGGTGGAGTACGATGGGAGTCGGACTCCAAGAGACACCAGTATGAACATTGGTTTTACCACGTACTAGTTTTAAGGCCCTGGGCAAGTTACTTCTTTGTATCTTTGTTTCTATCTTTAAAAAACTATGGTATGCTGTGAGCACTGAAAGAGACATTATAAGAATTAAATAATAAATATATATATGTGCTTCTGCCTGGCACATGAATAATAAATGCTCAGTGTTACCTATAATTATACCTTTAGATTCATTCTATTAATTAATTCATTCTATTAATATTTGCTCCTATTACCAGGAATATTTGTCCTCCCTATATTTGCCTAATAAGCCCCCTACTTATCTTTTACTCTCTCAAAGACTCCTCAATGTCAACTCTTGCAGGAAGTTTTCTCCATCTGAGGTCCCATCTCTGTTCTTTCAAGAGTTCCCTCTACTTCTCTGTATTATAGTACTTATCAGATTAATAATATTATAATTTTTCATTTGTCTACCTCACCTGCAAGAAAGGGTCAGGTAGTAAATATTTTAGGCTTTGTGGGCCATATGGTCTCTGCTGCAGTACTCAGCTCTGCTACTGTATTGTCAAGGCAGCCACAGACAACATACATACATACATACATACATATATATATACACAGCCATGGCTGTGTTTCAGCGAAACTTTCTTTACAAAAAGAGGCAGTGGACCAACTTGGCTAAGGATAAGACCTGGGTCTTTCCTCCTTCCATCCTTTCCCACGAGTTGGCCCAATAAAAAATAGTTACTGAGTTTAATGAGTGGACAAGTCAATGAAAAAGATTCAATAGTGTCACATCCTCTATAAGCCCCTTTTCAAATTACTCTCTCATAGCATCTTCCTATGTCCCTCTCTTACCTACCTATCTGACTGCAGTTAGTTGTCGGTGTACGTGTTTGCTGTTAGACTCTATTTTTGTATCTTTGGGCCCTGCAATGTGCTGGGCACAGAGGAGGTACTCATTAAAATGAGTATTGGTAGAAGAAATGAATTAAAAATTCTTTCAGGTTTTGAGCACGAGAGAATAAAATAATTGTTTTGGCTCCAAGGGGCTTCCTGTAGTTGTGCACAGACGCCTCATAAATATTCCATGGAAGCATGCTGGAGGTGCACAGAAGGGCAGGGACCAGGCTGTGGGGAAGTGAGGGAGAGAGCAGATTTCCCAACTTGCCCTTCCTTGGTATCTGCGCTCGCTACTATTTGCTGCAGTACTGAGAGTCAGCGGTAGGTTTGGCAGGCGACTTTTATTCATCTGAATCTGAATAACTACCAAAATGATGTCTGGTTTTCAGAACTTTTCTTAGGATTTACTTTAGATCCTGGTGGGGTAGAGAAAAGGAGAAAGGCTAATATCAGCCTATGTTGCCGAGTGGCTGCACAACTGCTCGCGACAGATAAGACGACTGCCTGGAAATGCAATTTCACGTTGGTCTTTCTAAAATACCAGACTAAAAACTCTTCTAAACGTTCTTTTCAGATTGTGACTTGGACAATGCTTTACTAATATATTCTAGAAATACAACTAAGGAAATTAACTACCTTATAAAATATCATGTCAAACCTACCCAGAAGAAGAGAAACTGATAGCTATACTAATGACTGTAACTCTCTTCTCATGTAACTACTAATATTTGTGTTTTCTAGCCTCAGTCTAATAAGAACTTTGTGACCTTATCCTCTACTTATGAGTTTTTTTTTTTAAACAGTCTGTATTTTAATAAGATACTACTCGTACTACGTACCTATTCGGAAGATGATGGCTGCCGAAGGTTGTACTTCCCCCAGGACCTACAAATAACCTCAGTCCTTCTTCTGCAATATACATTGAAAATGTTTGTTACATGTACAGTTCTTAGACTACGGTCAAATAATATATTGTAATAATTCATAGTCTATATTTTATTTTATTAAAGAAATAAAAAACTTAAAAGTCAAAGTTACATACATGTTTTAAACTAGGCAATTTAAAAGATATCCCAACAGTTATTTCTCATCAACTTTCCTTAAGCTCTTTTTCTTTTCAATGAGTAATGAAGACAGCTCTTCCTACAAGGTTCCGCAACTAAGGTTTAATTATTTCTCTTTACAACCAGTTACATAACGAACCCAAGTCCATTGTTAAGTGCTATTCACACCAACATGAGTAATTACACCTTTCAAACCGGTGGCATATAAATTTTCAGTTTCAGTCAAACTACTAAGCAAGGAATGAGGAATTCTGTTATTTACTATTGTTTCAAGACCACTACCCTCCAACCCTCCAAATTATAACGGTGGCTTGAAGTACTTAGGACAGAGCAGGCACAGATACCTATTGCAAGGTATATGAACATGGGAGACAGGGATGTACAGTTAAAAGTATAATAAAAGCCTTCTTTAAAACTGAACTCTTTTAACTAAAGTTTGTCGTTTTTCCAAATTCAATATTCATTCTTAGAAATAAATGAACTACAGAGTTGTCTTGAGAATTTTATGGGCATGAAAGTTATTTTACAAGTGTGCTGCGACGTTCTGCCTCTTTCCTGCAGAGCCGGGTCACAGACCCAGCGCACCGCACTTCACAGCGACCACGCACCTTCCGCGCTGGAGTCCAGGCTGAAGTCCTGGCTCTGCAGGATCTTCTCCACAACGGCGTCTGCGTCCACTCTGGTGTCGTCGACTCGCTTCAGCTGGGATTCTACAGAATCTTGTTTCGCGGGACATCTTTGAAAAGAATTAAAATTTGTCCCTCCTTTTTAGTATTTTGTGAAAACGAAGATTTTTTGAAAATTTACATTTATCTTTTAAACTAAAAGCAAACCTGTTGAGTTTTTCTGAAGCTGTATCTTCTTTCTCAGTTGTATCAAGATTTGGTTCAGCTATTTTTTGCTCAATTTCATCACATGGCTCTAGAATACTTTCAACTCCTGTTGACGTACTTCCTACGGAGGTATTTCTCCTGTGGCAGAGCTCAGAGAAACTAGATGACCTGGAGTGGCATGTGCTATACCCTGTCAGGGAAAATCGCTTTGGGTGTAGTACCAGTATCAAACACACTGCAATCTAACAGCCTTCCCCCACACCAGAGCAGGTTCAATCCCCTCAGAACAGTAAGAAATTCAACTTCACTGTTAGCCTCTACCTGATACTTTTGACTGCTGGCTTGCATAGCTTGATGTTCTGGAATGTCCACAGGCACCAAGTTCATCTGGAACAGAGGCACTCTTTGCTGAAAGATCTGCAGTATGTTATAACATGACATTACTATTACTGCCAACAACTTAATGGTCAATTTGTATTCTAATCTGTAGATTTTCTAAACTCTCTAAGTTCATTATCAAGAAAAACACGTTACAAAGTGATAGACATCCCTTTAAAGCAATACAATGGAAACAACTGTTTTTGCAAGAAATACAAAGTACTTATATATGCCTTACCTCACTGAAGAATTATAATGTTTTTCCCAACATTTAAAAACATTGTCTTAAAATTATTACAGTTTCTGTATTCAGCATTTCTCTAATAAAAATGTGTTAAGTGTATTCTTATAAATTCTCACAAAATTACTAGGTTTTAGTGTGATTTCTGAGGAAATACTGCTTCCTCAAAAGCCACCACAGCAGCAATCTAAACAGCACTTTATTACTTTAGCGTTAGTGTTGCTAGTGCTAGGCTATAATCTGAGCAATGTCTGTGGCTTCAATCAACACAGCACGGAACGTAGCACTGAGAATAAAAGTTCTTAAGAAATTGATTATAGTATTCGGTTTCAAAGTAAATGTACAAAAAGCAGTGTCAAGGCCATTTCTAGGAGGTCCCTGATCACGTGCATATGCCAGGTGCCAATTATGTACTTCTAGAGCCAGGCTTCTTCCACAGAATGCAGAACAGTGGCCATTTTCCTTAGGGTGAAATATTTGGAAACTGGAACTGTTTTTAACTTAGAAGCAGAAGGAAAGCAATTGAGTAATACAGTTATTACAGCAGCAGTGCTATAAATGATATTGAACGTAGCTGGACCAACAAATGCTGCCAAACAAGTAAGCTACTGGAGCCATGTGGCCCTCTGCAAAGGTTTCTCATTGCTGGACAGACTGTAAGCATCCTGAGCATGTCTACAGTGGTTCCAAACCCAAAGTTAGTACCAACAAAGTCTGAACTCAAAGAGTTGGTTCATATCAGGAGCTAACCCTTTACTCCTGGGTTTGGCTCAGATCTCAAGTCATCCACTTGTCTTCTTGTTTTCACAACAATAAATATTTATTAAGCTTTTGCCAAGTCAGGTGCTCAATACTGTATGAGGTATAGAAAGTACAAAATGAATAAGACAAAATACATGCTCAGAGTTTAGAGGTAGAAACAAAAGTTATACTACAATGTGGCAAGTATTAAAATATAAGCACCAAAAAGAAGCTATTAAGAGCTCCAAAGAACAGTGCATCTAACATAACCTGGCAATGGAGGGAAAGACCTCATAGAGGCAGCTAATGCCAGGACTTTAACAAGGTATAGGAACTCTGCAGCCAGAGGAGTGTGGAAAGGCATAGGGAAGAGCACACCTTGTTTGCAGAGAAGCAGACAGGTTAGCGTGCAGGGTAGTGGTGTAGATTGGCCAAAAGGTCCCCAAACTTTTTGGCACCAGGGACCGGTTTCAAAGAAGACAATTTTTCCACGGACCAGAGTGGGGGCTGGCTTCAGGACGATTCAAGTGCGTGACATTCACTGGGCAGTCAAACCTCTCTGCTAATGATCACCTGTATTTGCAGCAGCTCCCCAGCACTAGCATCACTGCCCGGGTCCAACTCAGGTCGTCAGGCATTAGATTCTCATAAGGAGCACTCAACCTAGATCCCTCAAATGTGCAGTTTACAGTAGGGTTCGCACTCCTGTGAGAATCTAATGCCGTGGGAGTGGCTGTAAATACAGATGAAGCTTCACTCACTCGCTGGCCGCTCACCTCCTGCTGTGTGGCTGGCCGCTCACCTCCTGCTGTGTGGCCTGGTTCCTAACAGGCCGCGGACCTGTACTGGGGGTTGGGGACCACAGGTGTGGATGACTGAGGAAAAAGAGGCTGGAGAGATGCGGAGGTGCCTGCTGATGAAGGGCCTTCTATGAGTTTAGAGGAGGAAACAATTTGGTGGCTTCCAGCAAGGGTGTGACATGACCAGATCTACATTTTGGGAAGATCACTCTGGCAATAGGATGAACGGGGGTAAAAAAGTGAAGGTTTTCATAATAATCCAGCTGAGAGTGAGAGATGGTTAGCAGGCACAAATAATAGGACTCAATTATTAGGTAGAAGTTTGTGTCAGGATAACTGAGATAGAAAATAAGAAAGGAAGAGTTAGGAAGAATTGGGCTAGATAGGTGGAATTTGAGACACCTGGGCACGCCTATTCAGTCACTGAATTTCTACTCTGTCCCTGGCATTATGCTGGGGACACAAAAACAAGTAAGACCTGATCATAAAGAACTTAGAGTGTGGCTTGGGAGAAAGATAAACAGATGGATTTCAGTATAACATTTGCTATGAAGTGGACCTTTCCCAAAAGCATTTGGATATATATACCTGCGGTTCAGGAGGGAGGTCCAGAGGCAACATAAATTTGTGAATTAAAATTATTTAACTTATATTTACAAGATCACATTTACATTTATGTGACAGTGAAATCCAAGGGTACAGATGACATTGCTCAGGAACGTAAGTAGAGGGTAACAAGCCTTGTGGAACATCAATATTTAAGAGGAAGGTGGAAGCAGATGAAGAAGCCTCCAAGAAGCTAGAAAAGGAAAGGTCAGAGAGGTGGGAGCTAAGGAAGAGAAGGCTTCAAGAAAGAATAAGTGGCCAAGCTAGATGAGAACAGGAAAAAGGCCCACAGGATTGGACAATCATGTAACTGGAGATATCATCAAGAGAGGGCAGAAGATGGAAGCCAGATTGCAAATGTGTTTAAGAATAAATGGGCAGTATATTCTTTCTAGAAGTTTGGCTATAAAAAGCGTATGGTATATATATCATCTCCTGATGCTCTCTCTCTCTCTCCATACACACACACACACACACACACACATACATATACACACCCACACACAGAGATGAATCTATATATAGGGAGGGAGGTCGGGGGGAGGGAGAAAGAGAGATAGCAAGGACCAGCCTGCTAAAGCCTACAGGAGAGCAGCAGATAAAGAAGGATTTAGGGCTAATGAGTTTTTGGTTTTTATTTATTTTTTCAATATGGGAAAGAATTCAGGTTAGTTAAATGCTGAAGGGAAGGAGCTCATGGAATGGTTGAAAGTACCCAAAGGAGTCACTGATCCTAAATCAGGAAATTTCATAGTAACCATTATCTATAAGAAGCCATATATTTGCATATTTGAAAAGGTGGTGAAAGTGTGAATTATATAACTTTACCTTTCTTTCCATTCAAAAAATATACCCTGTTCACGTAACATGGGAGATAGAAGGAAGACCCCAAGCCCTTTTTCTCCATCTGACTTGACATTTTCCCTACCCTGTTTTAACTCCTAGAGCAGATTCTGACTGTTGATGGAAGTTTGCTCAAAGTGGAGCTCAAGGCGTGGTTGGGGACCATCGGCATCACCTGGGAATGCATCAGCAATGCAAAATGTCAGGCCCCAACCCACATCTACTGAATCAAGATCTCTGGCTGCTGGTGCCAGCCATCTGTGCTTTAACACGCCCTCTAGGTGGCGCTGATGCACAATCAGCTTAAGAACCACTGACGGGAAAGTGATTCATGGAAGAGAAGCAACACCCAAGCTGACCGGCAGCAGTTGCTGGGTATGTCGAATGGGAAAAATCCTGAAGCGTCCTGTTCTATCTACGGGGAGTAGGTGCAGACAGCGGGGTTGTGAGCCATTGTAACATCTAGCTTTTAATCTGTAAGAGCACAATACTTTAGACAAAACAAGCACTGAATTAACCAAGGACTGTACAATAAAAACTCTGCTGATACTTCCTGGCCCAATTCAAGTCATATACCCTTAAAATTTTAAATATGGAAGGGCTTTGGGAATCTTTTAGGACATTAAGTGGTACTGTGTCTCACAAATTAAAAAAATGGTAGGCTACACATCCATACCTGCTATTCCAAGATGCACTTTGAGAGTCTCTCCACCTTTTCTATCTTCCTGCAGAGATTCAGATTCACCAGCAATTGGTATAGACGTTGATGTAGAGGGAGGCCTGTAAACAAACATTTCTAAGGATCGGAACTTGACTTATGGGTGAGCCTGAAAGTTTGAAATACTGTTAGTGATTGGCAAGCTTAGCCTTAATTTAAGCTGCCTACTAATGTTATCCCTTTGAGGGTGAAAGTAATAAAAATCAACAAATAATGTATAAGCATCTTTTCAAAAGTTGAATAAAATTCATGAGGGGAAGAAGGTTTTTCACACAGCAAAAAAGGCAAGACCAGAAAGGACACTGCCTCCACGGAGTCCTGAAAAGAGAGGGGCCAGCACTGATCAACAGAGGGGTGCTTTACCTGCCAACTCAACTCAGACGAGGCAGGGGGCATCTCTGAGTTGGGCAAGGAAGCGCCTTTGCATCTGAGGTTGGGAGAATACCTCATGCCTCCTGCTTCAGAGCCTAAACTCTCTTGCTGGCCCCACTAACTTCTTAAATCGTATCCATAGTTTTATCATCTACCTTCTTCTCTGTCAACAGCTCACCTGCCCAGGGAGAGTCTGCAGAGAGTCGTAGTTACTTAGACTTGCCTTCTGGCCTGAATGCTCTGGGAGGTAATGGATCTACTTTGGCCAATTCAAAGCTCCTGACCTATTGCGAGTGGAAGCTGTGAAGCAAGGAGGGGCAAGTTTGAGTTCTAATGGTTTTTTTCTTTTCAGCATAGGGAGCTTTATTATAAAACATCCCTAACTTTTTGAGGTTGATCCAGAGGAAATCCACATCTTCCTAGAAACTGTCCCTTGGTGACCTGAGATAAAATAGGAAGGTGGCTGAAGGGATCATGACGCTTACCTGCTGTGTGGCAATTCTTAAATTCTTACCATATTATCTCAATGGAATCCTCAGGCTACTTGGGTTCTTGGGGACATAGACGTTTAAGATTACCATTAAATCTATCTATAAATATATAAATCTGAATTTATAGACTAACTCCAGCCCAGGATTTCCTAAATTCTATACTTACATGACCTAGTGGGACATTTTCAAGTATTTGTCCTACAAGTACATCAAACTCAATATATAGCCCCCTTAACTCATCTTTCCCCAAACCTGTTTTCTTCGTGTATTCTCTTTCTGTGAATGCCATCACAATCCACGACGTCACCAAAACTAGAATCCTGGATATCACCTCTGCCTCCTTCCTAGTCACTTTTCCCCATATCTAATCAATTTCCAAATCCCAAAGATTCTCTCCCAACATTTTTCCTATTCATCATCTCTTCTCCATCTCCACTAAGTACTCGAGTTTTGGCCTTTGGACCTTTCTTCTGGCTGACTGCAAGTCTCCTAGCTGGTCTGCTGACCTCTACTCCATGCTGTCACTGTGGTCTTTCTGAAGTATGCCTCTAACATGTTGCTCTCTAATTTAAAATCTTTCAGTAGCTCCTCCAGGATAAAGCTTAAACTCCTTAGAATGGCACACAAGGACCTTTGCAGTCTGGGCTAGACCTACCTATTTAATTACCAACTATATTTTTAAATGATATAAAATAGCTTGGTTTAAAAAAAACCAACTTGCATTTAATATTTCATAGGAAAAGCTCCTATGTAAAAAGAAACACATGAGAATGGAGTGTATAGTTATAATCATTATTGAAGGCTGACTCACGCCTGCAAGTCTTTCTAATGCCAATTCCTTTGTTTTTCCTTTCACAGGTGGCCCAATTACAGTGTCTCCATCCTTTTACCTCTCGGACCTGCTTCCCGACCCCTGAGAAGGCCCACACTCTGGCCTCTTCCCTCTTTCCTCCCATCAGTCCCCATCGGCTCCACAGCCACACACTCTAAGCAATTCCTTCCATGTGGCACCTTTTCTCTGCCGTCTCAAAAAACTTGAAGAATCCCAACCCTTGATAACGTCAGCCATCTGTACTAACTGCTCCAATACTGGGACATCTAAGCATCATGAAGAAAATTAACTGATATGGGGACTGAGAACACAGGAAACTTAGAATCTAAAATCTTAGCTGGGCCTTGGCAGCTCTCTCGTCTCCCCAGACAACTCAGTCTTGCTGAATAATCACCACTGAGTGCTTGTCATGTGCCAGTTTTTTTCTATTACCCGCTTTGTTCTGAAAATGTTTTTATATTTCTTAGGAGAAATTGCTTAAAATAGCTCAATTATAGAGTGAGATAGGATTACTTTAATTTTACAGGAATGTCAGGAATATGTGAAAAATGGCCTCCTAAAATGACAATACTACCTACTTGACATTCCGTGCCATATCACAATGCCACAAACTTGTGCAAACTGTTTTCTCTTCCTGGAATGTCCCTACCCACCTTCTGTGCTTAGAAAAGTCCTATTCATCCTTTAAAACTTAGTTCAGTGTCACCCTCTCAGTGAAGATTCCCTTGACTTTCAAGGAACAGTGGTTAGGGATCCTGTCCTCTATGTCTTAATAACACCCTGTGTTGGGTGCCTGTCTCCCCACACAAACAGCGAATCTCTTCGGAGCAGGGGCTGGTCTTGTTTAGCTTGGTAAATGTTGGTATGTGGCAGGCAATCAATACACATGTACTGGATGAGTCCTGAGACCCTGGAAAAATTAGTTCCGTAACCTCTGAGTCTCAATGTCCTCACTCAAAAATATGGATAATACTTAGAGTTTTTGTTTCAAGAATTGAAAGACTTGTTTCAAGAATTAAGTTGGGAGAGAGTAACATTTATGAAAGTATTTTGACAAACGGCAATTTCTTTCCTTCTAGAACTTGAATGCTTTAGAATCTTATTATTCAAGAGAGTTATATCATCCTTAGAGCTGCTTTACTACCAGATTATCAAATGCCAGTACGGTAAACAATTTTTCTCTCAATATATTCTTTTTCTTCATCAGCACTTTTCAGAGTCAGTCTCATTCTTTTACAAGAGTCGGTGGCTATTTGATGAGTTGTACAACTACAAAATGGAGTTGCTGGTAGGTAGTTCCAGGTTGACTTATCAGCTTTCTTCTTCATAAATACTGGCCTCACAATATAAAATCTGTGTTTCAGAAAAATTATACAATCTATGTCAACATCTTTTGCTCATAAAATATTAAAACTAGAATTTAAATCTGAGAATGCTAAAGATCTGCTGTATTCCTGTTCTTCTAGTTTAAATGTACCAGTTTTTAGTAAATTTAATTTATATCACAAAAAATTCAAAGACAGACAAAAGCAGAGAGAATGGTCAAATGAAGCCCTCCAGCACTTATTTCATCTTTGTTCTACACAGAGATACTCAGCCAAGTCACTCAGTTGCTCTGTGCCTTACTTTCCTCATCTGTAAAATAAGAACTTGGATTATACCAATACTTTCTTTTTAAACTAGCTCCATGAAACTGCCTTAGCAACTTCTGAAAGTAGCTAGGGGAGAGTATTGAACAGAAAAATTTTACATACTAGGATTCATAATATATTTGAGCAAAGGATTTTGTGGCTAAATATTCTGAAAAAAAAATCACTGGACTAGACAACTTCTAACATTCTTTTCAGCTCTAAAATAATGTGATTTTACATATTTGAGATATATTTAAATATAACCTGATAAAAATAATTTACTTTTTACATTTCAGTACTTCAAATGTTTTTCTATTCAATACATACTCAGTATGTGCCAGTGCATGGGTGTGTTAGAGTTCCCCTTTTTTTCACTGACATTTGCACGATTTCAGATATTCAAAGAGAAAAAGAAAAACTATCGAGGGTTTGATTCTTCTGAAAAATACTTTTATGTATTTGGAATTAGGTAAGGTCTGTTTATTCTTAGGAATTGCAAAAGTTTTTCTCCGTAAATATAAATTCTAGATTGCCAGAATCGCATCTGTGAAGATAATATAAAAACATTAAACTATTTATTTCAAGCCCTTCAGTATGTGAGTTTCACAAGTAAAAGGACAGAGAAAGGGCCAGTGAGGGAGTGTCCATAAAAAGTTCATGAAAAGGAATGATGGATTTATTTTCTTCTACTAAGTTTTGCTGCTCCTTTTCTTATTTTACCCTAAACTGATTCCACTAGAAAAACAGTTACCTGAAAGTCCAAAAATAGTATAGCAAAAATTGTTTAGTCCCAAGAGAGCAGCAAATAAAGGAGCCATGAAATTATGGTTTATAAGAAGGCAGCACAGGAAGGCTAAGTGAAAGGAAAATGTATAGTTTTAATCAAGAGTTGATTTGTATTAAAACATATCTTTCTACAAGATAGTATGGAAACAGAAAACTATGTGGGCATTGCTAAGTTACAGCAAGAACTATTAAAAACGTGACATTGATATATATATAAAAACATGATATTGATATATATATATATATATATATATAGTAATCATTTCTTTTCTTTTTTTTTTTGGAGACAGGGTCTTGCCCTGTCACCCTCACTAGAGTGCAATGGCGTGATCATAGCTCACAGCAACCCAAACTCCGGGGCTCAAGCAATCCTCCTGCCCCAGCCTTCTGAGTAGCTGGGACTACAGGCGCACGCCACTATACCTGGCGAATGTTTTCTTTACTTTTCTAAAAATATTTTTTTCAGATATTTAAATAATATCCAATGAACTTTCATTTTTAATTACTGTCTTCAAAGCTGCCGCCAAGCAATCCTGCATTTCCCCACTCAGTTCACCCTAACACTCTCTGAGGAGACTTTTACATACCTTTTCCTCTTTCTTCAAACCCCTACCTCTGTCTTCCCCATTCTTGCTCTTCAATCATCACGTTTCCTATTTCATTAAGAAATCTGGAGCAATTATTAAGAGAAAGGAACTTCCATATGTTTCCACTTTTCATGCATCTGCACTGACGGCTGTGTATCTGTCTCCATCCCTCGTGACAATCCAAGGACGCTGTTCTAGCAACAGTCCCTTTTCTTTTCTGAATCATCAGTTTCTCCCTCTTTACTGAGCCGATCCTATCCGTATACAAACATGCTGGACTATCTTTCATCTTAAAATTAAACAAAACCTGCCCTACCCCACATCCTCACTTTACTTATGACCTCATATTTCTGCTCTGTTTTTACAGTAAAACTCCACATAAGAATTATTTATACTCACTGTCTCTAATTTTTCTCCTTCAGAACTCTTTTTAGCCGACTCCAGAAAAAAGGTTTAGACTAGGAGCATTCTATCGAAGTGCCTGTCAGAGTCACCAACAGTCTCTACACTGCAAAATCCAGTCAATTCGCAGTCCTCACCTTCCGAGACCTGCTTCGGCAGTGCGTGATGCAGGTGATTCTTTTGAAACACTCTCTTCACTTGGTTTTCAGGACAGTACTCTCTTTTGTTTCCTTTCTCCTGTCTCACTGGTTGTTCCTGTACTGGTCTGTCCCCATCTCCCCCACCTCTAACACACTGGAGTGCCCCAACCGCAGTCTGTGGTCCTCGCTTTTTGTTTATACTTATGCCCTCCAGTCATTTAATCAAGTTTCAAGGCTTCGATTGCGATCCGTATGCTGATGATGTCATGATTTCTAAAGGTACATCTCCAGGCTGGCTCTCCCCACTGCGCTCTGCAGTGGATGCATCCACCTGCCTCCTTGACGTGGCCGGCTGGATATTAACAGCGACCTTAAATTTAACACGTCTCACTCTCAGGCTCCCAACTTGTTCCTCATGTAGTCGCTCATCTCAGGAAACGGACATGTCATTCTTCCAGTTACTCAGGCCCCTTGACTGGATTGCTGAAACAGCCTCAACTACCTATTTCTGTCCTTGTCCCCTTCGTTGCTCCCACAAATTGTCTATTCCCTACCTAGCAGCCATAAGTCATATACTTTTACACCTCTGCTCCAAACCTCATTGTCTGTTTATCCCACTTACAGTGTAAGTGGCAGTCCTTATTATAATGGCCTACAAGACTTCTTATCATCTGACCCCATCTCCATCACCCTCCTCTCCACTCTGCTCTAGACATACTGGTTTCCTGGCAGTTACGGGAACAGGCCAAGAACACTCCTCCCTCAAGGCCTTTGTCCTTGTTCCCTCTACCTCACACGCTCTTTCCCCAGATGTCTGCATGGCTTGCTTCCCACCTCCTTCGGGTTTTTACTCAAATATCACCTTTACTAGGGAGGCCTTCCCTGACTAGTATACATAAAATAGCAACATTTCTCTCCACCATGGCCCTGCTACCCTGCTTTATTTTTCTCCAAGGCACTTATCACCGTCTTTATATTATATATTTCCTTGCAGTTTATTGTTTGTTTTCCTCATAGAATATAAGGTCCAAGATGGCAGGGACTTAATCTATTTTGTTCACTGCTGTTTCTCTAGTAGCTAGAACAGGGCCTAGCACACGGTAAGGCACTTAATAGGTGTTTACTAAAGAAATGAATATGTTCACAGAAGCCATATTAAAAATTTTAGTTTGTATAATTTTACCCCAAATCAGAAGACGACAAAAGACCTAAGGCTTAAGTAATTTAGAGTGTGGAGCACTCACTTCGTAACACATAATAGTAACTTTTATGGGTCAGGTCAGTCTCCTAGGAAAGGAACTATCCCTTCACTGGTATTTGTCTGTTAGCACTACATAATATTAATATAAACCATTTAAACAAACAAATACCCACTATACTTCAGATAGATAATCCATTTATTGGGCATCGACTTACGTTTTAAAACATGGGTCACCGGACATCAGTTGCATACTGATCAAAACCTAAACATAAGAATAAGAAATATGATGATTATAAAAGATTTCTTGAGAGCAGAGGCCATACTCTGCTAACCTACGCTTACTCCATAGCACCCAGTCCAGTATCTTCTATTTAGAAAGCATTAAATTATTGTTAGATCAGGTGATATCCAATATTAAATTCCCACTTCATATAGATTAAAGATAATTTTTACCATTCAAAACCTTGTAATTGCAAAAATCAGAGCGGAAATGATGAAAACAAAAAGTCATAATAATTCGCTAGTAATAATCCTTGGGCGTGTGGCTGTGCTAATTTAGTTTATCTGTCTGTGCTCTCAGATTCCTGTGGTGTCTAAGTGTCTGATAATGTTTCCCTCCAACTTGCCATGTTCAAGGGATGCCTGCTAGAGGCTTCTAAGAGTAGAAAACTCTGGCTTTTGTTCCAGTTTTAGATCAGCATTTAAAGTTTTTGTAATACTTTCTGAGATGCTGCTATTCTCTAGTTGCTGACTACCTTTTAACAATCAATCATAGGACCTTTTTATGTTCTTATGGGAATAATAATGATAACAGTAATAATACAATATTAACAACAATCATGATTTGAGAATTCACTATGTGCCAGGCATAAGCTAAATGTTTCATATGTATTATTTCATTTAATCTGTAATACTCCTATGGGAGAGCAACACTTTCATTTTAAGCCCAGGAGAATAAGGGATATTTTCAAAATCAGACATCTAGTGAAGGGCAGCGCTGAGATCTGAACCCAGGACTGCATGTGCCAAAATTCACGGTCTTAATGAATAACAGGAGACGTATATTACTGCATGTTTTTCAGCAAAAGGCTAATATGTATCTTATATGACCTTATTTAATTCATATCTCTTCATCTCAGTGCCACCATGACTATTCTTTTTCTCTTTTTTTCTTAAATACCATACCTATCCTCCTGTGGTTTCCTCATCACCTCTTCTTTCATAGAACCCTACAGTTTGCTCTCCAACTCCATCAGAACAGCATGCTTGAATATAATGAATGTCTCAGAAAGGATGTGGAGATGGCACATACAGCTTTTAAGAAATCCTGTAGTAAAGTAGAACAGAGAAGTGGAACAGCAGTTGGAGGAGATAAGCTGTTATTTTTTGCCTTTTTAAAAAAATATGGGAGATACCAGAGCTGTTCCGTTCTATGTTGATGAGGCTGGATCATTCACAGAGGAGATGATTAGAAGAGGGGATAATCCAAGCGCAAAGCTTTGGATTCTGAAACCCAGGAGGAAGGGCTGACTTCTGACAGGAAGAGGGACATGTCACCCACTGCAATAGGAGGCAAAAAGGATAACAAGGCTGGAGAGACAGGTAAATTCTGTGACGGGAAGATGCAGGAATTTAGTTTAATGGCTTCTATTTTCTCAATAAAGGATACGGCAAAGCCATTAGCTGAGAGGAAGAACAGTGTGTGGGGATATAGGAGAAAGAAGGTATGAAACAGAATACCTAAAATTTAAAAAGGAAGCTTAAAAAGACAGTAGGTTACAACTGCTGGCAGTGAGCAGGGGTTCAGTAATGCCAGCTGGCCTGGTTGTGTGACCTCCAGCCATGCTCAGCAAGCAGGATGCTCAAGTGAATGCAATTGGGGCTGGGCGTTATTCAGGGGAGAGCAATGGGGGAGATGGGGCAAAGGGGCAGGGGTATTTTTAAGGGTATGATAATTACAGAATCTAAGCTGGATAAAGAGGGAAGTGGAAGCAAGTGGGAACTGATGGATGGTGAGACAGGGGTAAGGTTAAAGATAGCTAAGTGACTAGTAGATCAAGAGGGATAGAAACACAAGATAGCAGTAGGAGGGAAGAAAACTTTAAACTGAAATTTTGGAAGTGGTGAAGTTCCTAGGGGTAAGAAAGTCTAGAGTGTGACCATGGGAGTAGGAATTGAGATGAGGAAGAGGAAAACATTGCTGGAGATAAGGAGTTTAAGGAACTGAGAGCCCTTAGGCACATATATGATAGTCCACAAGGAGAATTCACCTGCGTAGACGGGGAAGCCACCAAAAAACGATGACAGGAGAAGGGAAGTAGAGAAAAACTGTGAGCCAGGAGCTAAGTCATCGACGAACAAGAGAGAGGAGTGACAAGGTGGTCAGGAGATAACAGAGCTCAGGAAGGGAGTGGGTGTTACAGCTCCATGTTGTGATCATCAAAGCATATGCCTTTGACAGGACAAAGTGGGGGATATGGGGAGCTGGAAGGAAACTACTCCACGAGCTGGCTCTGAGGAATGCAAGGGTCTAAAATTAAAAAGTTATTTCAATTTCCAATGGAAACACTACAATTCAGAGAAGGATTATCCATCTTTTTAAATAAGAAATATGAAGAAGTAAGACCACTGACCAGGCAGCGGAAGATATGCATTCTCTCAGCTCTGCCACTGATTACTTTTTTTTTCTTTTGAGAGACAGGGTCTCATTCTGTCACCCTGGCTGGAGTGCAGTGGCCTGATCATAGCTCACTGCAGCCTCTGACTCCTGAGCTCAGGCGATCCTCCCCGCTCAGCCTCCTGAGTAGCTGGGATTACAGGCACACACCACCACTCCTGGCTAATTTTTTCATTTTTTGTAGAGACAGGGTCTTGCTATTTGCTCAGGCTGGTCTCATACTCCCAGCCCCAAGCAATCCTCCTGCCTTAGCCTCCCAAAGCACTGGGATTACAGGTGTGAGCCACCATACCCAGCCCACCACTGACTACCTTTATGAGATACTTAACCTTCTGAGTCTCAGCTTCTTCATCCATAAATTGGAATAACAATCTATCCCCATCCATCTAACCCTGTCTATCTCGTAGAGGTATGGGCAAGTCCTCTGAATGATTTTCAGTTATATAACCATAAAACTACAAAATCAACATGATGCACACAGAAGTTTATATCATCACATTTTTCTTTCTTCCTTGTCTTCTTTCACCATTTCCCTCCCCGTATCAACTACTCATCTCACCTTTCTTTACAGCTGCTAAATTTGTGCCACGGATAGACTGGCTACAATAATCATTTAAGGCATTTTCGTATCTTTACAGCTTAATGTTTACTGAAAACAAAGTTTGAAAACTGTAGGTATAAGGTAATTCTTTGCTCCACTAACTTGACTATCCAGTTTTTATTCAGAATTATTTTCCTTTCTTCGTATTAGATACCTGATATAGTTTGGATATTTGACCCTTCCAAATCTCATGTTGAAATCTGGTCCCCAGTGTTGGAGGTGGGGCCTACGGGGAAGTATTTGGGTCATGGGGGCAGATCCCTCATGAATGGCCTGGTGCCCTCCCTGTGGTAATGAGTGTGCTCTCCCTCCATTAGTTCATGTGAGAGCTGGTTGTTTTGAAAGGGTCTGACATCTCCTTCTCTTTCTCTTGTGCTCCCTTCCTCTTGTGTTCCCTCGCTGACCATGTGGCACACCTGCTCCGCTTTCGCCTTCCACCATGAGTGGACGCCCCCTGAAGCCCTCATTAGAAGCAGGTGTTGGCACCATGCTTCCTGTACAGCCTGCAGAACCATGAGCCAAATAAACCTCTTTTCTTTACAAATTACCCAGCCTCACATATTCATTTAAAGCAATGCAAACGGACTAAGACAATAACTTACCATCGTGGGGTCAACTAAATACAGCAAAAGGTTTATCCAGTGAGTTTTACTAGGTGCAAGGTACTTTATAAGCATTTTCTCAACTGATGTCATTTAATATGCCCACCAACTCTATGAAGTATATATTCTCTCTGATTACCAGAATACATGGCTCCCGACGGTATTGGAAACAATAGGGCAGATGCCCAGAAGTGGGTTCCACTTGTCACTTCACTAGTTATAAGAGAACCCAGTGACTTCTATGTACCCAGCACAGTTGCTTTGGAAATCACCTTTAGAGAGCGACAAACATTTTAATGTGTTCATTCATGCATCACGCTCCTTTCTCCCAGTGAGCTCTTATGTTGTAGCGGTATGTGTATTCTTCTCTGAAGGTTTGCACCACCAAAGACAAACGCGTTAGGACTATGAAGGTGAACACACTACTTTCACTGCCTCTGTGATTAGGAAAGGTTTTTTCCCTAGGTGGCGAACATTTCAGTGGTGTGGTCAGCTTATGATTTCAGTATTGATTCACATCTTGTCCCTGACAGCATATACCTATGCTTATTTGAAGGCAGGAAATCTCATTTGTTGACATATAAATCTTGAAACATGCTTACTTTAAGAATGGAATTATCCTGTCTTGTATTTTTGGTATCATAGCCTTCCAGTAAACAGCGACGAGTGGTATTTCCTGATCCAGCAAACTCTGCCAAGTTTAGATCTGCAAAGCCCAGCTATGAAAAGAAAGATAATTATATTAATAGACTTATCTAGTAGGCTTCTATCATATCCTCATTAAAAATAAACATTCAACCCATACCCTAGACAAGTTTTCTCAAACTTCAGTTATTTGCAGTTTTTGCCATCTTAATACCTGTTCTATGATTTGTTTTATGTGTCTTTAAATTGGTTTGCTTTTTATAAAAATTTATTACCTGCTTTACTATTGTCTTAAACAACAAGATCTTTGAAATCATAGACATGATGTGCTAAATATATTTTTTCTGTATACAGTGAAATAAATATATTACTACTAAAGTAAAAATAATGCATATCCAACAACTAAAATCATTGCAAGCAGCAGTGGTACTCACACCACGCTGTGAGGAACACTAGCAATCCAGTCATGATCGTTTGCATACACACAGAGAAGAATGATCAGATTCTCCTCTGTCTGTCCGGGTTCTGGCTCTATGCTGAGCTAACCACTGGTGACTGCGGATAGTCGCATGTTAAGGTTTCACTCTCCATATGAGAACTACAATGATTTAAATGAATCGCACACTTTCTCTGGTATAGGCCCCTTCTTTTTCACCACCTCCTACATCATCTGCCTTGCTGATCAACCTTGAGCTGAATTTCTCTTTATGGAACCTACTTCCTCCCTTTCCCAGAGCTCTGCCCCACACCAATCCTCTCTGCTGCTAGCAGAAGTTCAGCTCAGACCTGTTCCTCTGCCTTATTACTACCCAGGTTTGGTCCCCATTTTCTGCAACTACCAAAGGTTGCCCCTATAATCTTTCCTATGATGTTGCTCAACTCTGCCTCTCATTTCCAAGTGATACAACAAATCAACCCTCTTATATCATTATTTTTGAATAAAGTCTACTTTATATGATTGTATATAGAGTCTTTGATTAACAAAAAATGAATTGAGCTTGCAATGAATTAAGCACGTCTCCAGGAATATATAATAAAAAGTATACATTTCAAACACACTGCTGTGATTTTAAGTTGTTTGCTTTATGGTTTTAAAAGACGTAGTGAGCATATATAAATGGCATTGAAGACGAAGATTTTAATTGCAGGCTGGAGCGTGATTTTAGCAGCTTTTAACTAGAACAAAAAGAATGAAGAATAAAAACTTAGAGAGCAGTTGAAGGAACGGCCACAAGCCCCAAATGCAAAAAAGTCAGACACACATCTAACTACAGGTAACAGCTACCTAATTTTCACATGGTTACTCTGGTCGTACTGCCTCTTTCAGGGAGCCGACAGATCAGCAGGAAAAGCCTGGATATGTTCAGGTCAAAGCCACATCCGGCTGAGCATGTGAAGGTCCCGTGACTATCTGATCATACATTATCCACACATTGCATACATTATCCTTCCTCGGTGAACATCTCTTTCCCACTCTGCTCTGCTGATGACTTTGCTTCCTGTTTCACTGGGAAAACAAAAGCAATCAAAGGAGCACTTTATTTCCACAAGCTCTTATGGCCAGCTACATCCGCTCACCTGCCTGCACCGGTGCCCACACTTCGCCTTCCCATTCACAGTGCTCCGGCTGTGCTCCTGAGGCCAACCACTCTCCCCTCGCCTACTCGAGCTCATCGCTTCAGCAATTCTTTCTGCTCTCTTGCATTCTAAAATTCTTCTTTTCTGCTGGATCATTCCCATCAGCACACAAACATGCTGGGTTTTCTATCTTAATGAATACATGGGAAAAAAAAAACCCACAACAAACTAAACCTCACTCCACACCTCTTTCCAGGCTACTGATCCATTTTTATGACCCCTCCCTTTAAAGTAAAACTCCTTGAAAGGGCTGTCTATGCTGCCTCTGATTCCTCTGTCCCTGGCCACCCGGTCAACCTCATTGCCCCCTCTTCTCCTCATTTATTCTACTTATTGCAACTGTCCTATTTCTTGAAAATGCCAAGATTACCTCAAGGCCTTTAATACTTACTGTTCTTCTGCCTGAAATGTTCTCACTTAGATCTTCTTAAAGATTTCTCCTTCATTCCTTTCAGGTCAATGTTCAAATGCCATCTTTCTAAAGGAGCCTTCCCTGACCACCCTACAACAAGCCGCTCTTCTCTCCTGTACCTCGTAGTTACCATCTGCTACTCCTTACCTGCTCTACTTTTCTCCTAGTAGTTATGACCATAACATGTACATGGTTATTTCATGGCTATTTTGTTTGTAGTCTACCCCTCCAACCCCCCATTAGAATGTACGCTCCACATAGGCAGGGGGTTTTGTCTGTTTTGCTCACAGTTGTATCTCTAGTACTTAGAACAGTGCCAGGAAAAATGCAGAATGGAGCCCTCATGAATGGATTAACGCCCTTTAAAAATGACAGAGCTTGCTTCCTCTTTCTCTGCTCTCTGCCACGTAAGGATACAACAAGAAGACAGCCAATCTGCAAACCAGAAAGTGGGCCCTCATCAGACACTGGATCTGCCAGTATGTTGATCTTGGACTTCGCAGCCTCCAGATCTATGAGAAATAAATTTCTGTTGTTTTGAGTCGCCCAGTCTGCGATGATTTGTTATAGCAGTCCAAACCAAGACAGTTCCCATTAAGAAAGTATATTAAAAGGTAGCATATGTCAATGTGATGTTTTAGGATGAAGGTTACTAATGAGTGAGGTCATCATTTATTATATCAAGCACTTTTCATGTGCCAGGCCTTGTTCTAGACACAGGATGACAGTGATGAACAGGACAAATACTCTGCCTTCAAAGAGCTAACATTCTACCAAAGTACCAGAGAGTCCATGTTTCCTTATGATTTTTTCTTTGGCTGTACTGAGATAACTGTCTCATAAATGGCATACATATAATACATATATACTAGCTGTATTTCTGGTAGGTATTAATTCATTCAGAAAATAATTTTCAGTATCTACATTCCAGGTAATGTTAAGCATTGGGAATGCAGAATCATTCCTACTTTTAGAGTTTAAAAGGGGAAGATTGAAAAGAAAACAACTTCCCATAATACTGTATGATAAATGCTGTGATAGGGAAAAACACAATTACAAGAAAGAGAGGAAAAAAAAGTTCTCAGTGCAGAGGGATGACTAAGTTGAGCCTTTAATGATATATAAGCTAACAGTGTAAGAGGAGGGAGAAATACATGCATGGCAGGGAAAATATGAAGTCACAAGGCAAAGAGGCTAAAATAGCATGAGATCCTCCAAAAAGCCCATGAGGACGTGTCTGAAGCATATGGATGAGTGTATGAGTGTGCGTGTGCTCATGTGCACAGAAGACCAACAGAAGAGATGACAAACCAAGATGGCTCTTACATCCTAGGTTAAGAAATTTTCATTTTACTTTATAAGCAATGAATAGCCACTGAAGGACTAAAAGTGGGAGAATGGCATGACCCTGTTTTAATCTTAGAAAGAGCACTCTGGTGGTAACACGGAGGATGGAGGGAGATAACCGAGGAAGGGAGATGAGACAGAGCGCTAATGCAGACTGTCAGTAAGTAAGAAACAATGCAGGCATAACCTAAGGCAGTGGCCTTGGGAATGCAGAGAAGGCATGGTTTCAAGAGCTTTTTAGAAGAGAAAAATCAAGAGGATCTGTCAACTACTGCAGACCTTGCCTGCCCCACCTGCCAACACCCTGCTACTCCTTGCCAGCAAAGCTTGATTTTATTAAGGTGTCCCCCTCTCAGTTTGTCCATGAGCACAAGGAGGGTAACCCAACCCCTAGCTCACTGTTAAACTGTGATCAGTCTAAGCTAACCAAGGCAATCCATTCCTATTGCCCACAACTGGTTTAGCAGTGGGCATATAATCTAGTTCTCATCAATGAAAGGTATGGGGAAATCCTCTGAGAGCCATCTAGGAAAAGTTTTCTCACTGAAAAAAAAGTAATACATGGAGAAACGTAGCTGGATTTTGTCATATGTGAATGCGTTGACTAAAACTTGAGCAGTCGGCCACTTGGTGTCATGAAGGGAGCTAGCCAAGAACAAGGTCATCACAGAGAATGGCAGAATGGAAAGAGAAAAATAATACGGGTTCTTGATGATGTTCTCCAGTCAGTGGATTAACAAGTTGTGGAGCAGCTCTACCTCACATCTACTTGTTTTCTGACATTAAAAAAATTTCGGCTGGGCACAGTGGCTCACGCATGTAATCCTAGTGCTCTGGGAGGCCAAGGCAGGAGGACTGCTCGAGCTTAGGGGTTTGAGACCAGCCTGAGCAAGAGCAAGATCCCATTTCTACCAAAAATAGAAAAAATTAGCCAGGTCTGGTGGTGCGTGCCTGTAGTTCCAGCTGCTCAGGAAGCTGAGGCAGGAGGATCCCTTGAGCCCAGGAATTTGAGGTTGCTGTGAGCTATGATGATGCCACAGCATTCCAGCTGGGGCATCAGAGGAAGACTCTGTCTCAAAAAACAAAAATTAAAAAAAAAAATTTCTAGTTGAAGAGGGTTTTCTGTTACCTATAGCAAAGAACATCTTGACATTGCAACTAACTAGATTTAGGGAGTTAGGTAGATTTGGTGGTTAAAATTAGCATACAGGCACTTGGGCTCAGATGACTGGATTGATGGAGATACCATTCAGAGACTGGAAATAAAGAGGAGTATGTGGGTTTCTGGTAGTGTTATTAATTACCAATTCCTTCTATTTAGCAAAAAAAGGTGAGCGCATTCATTAGTAATTTCATACAGCTAGTAAAAGTGACAAAGGACAGTAGTGATCATGTACATACAGAGCACTAAGAGAGCGCAGGGGAGGGGTGCTCTTCCATTCCATAGGCCTGGGAATACTCCCAGGTGAGACTGTTTGAACTATCAGTCGCTATGGCTTAATGCAAACCGGAGATCATCCTTTAGCAGGGAAGCGGAAACTAAAGAAATAACATCCCATAATCAGCATTTAGAAAGAATACGGCCGGGCGCGGTGGCTCACGCCTGTAATCCTAGCACTCTGGGAGGCCGAGGCGGGCAGATCGTTTGAGCTCAGGAGTTCAAGACCAGCCTGAGCAAGAGCGAGACCCGTCTCTACTAAAAATAGAAAGAAATTAGCCAGACAGCTAAAAATGTATAGAAAAAATTAGCTGGGCATGGTGGCGCATGCCTGTAGTCCCAGCTACTCAGGAGGCTAAGGCAGGAGGATTGCTTGAGCTCAGGAGTTTGAGGTTGCTACGAGCTAGGCTGACGCCACAGCACTCAAGCATGGGCAACAGAGCAAGACTCTGTCTGAAAAAAAAAAAGAAAGAAAGAAAGAAAGAATATGCCTATAATTTATTGTTGGATCCACCTGTTTAATCTCCAAGTTGCTTTATTTAAAAAGAGTCAAACTTGAATAGCAATTAGAATAGTAAAGTGTTTAATTTTAAAGCTATAAATAGCAATAAGCAATATTACATGTTCCAAAAGAGTTAAAGAACATCTACTTACCTTTGCATACGCTTTTCCACCTTTTAACTCCTGCCAAAGATAGAAAACACTATAAAGATATCATGTAATTAAACACTTAAAATTAAATATATGTTAAATAATTCTGAAGTGGATATTTAAATGCTGGCAAATATCATAAATAGTAAAATTCTGATGATCTTAAATCCAACTATTTGGGCTCCCACAACCCCCCCAAATGACTGGTATTTTTATTTAGCATTTAGCTTTAATCGAAATGAGACAAATGGTGAGAAGACAAGCTAACATTCTATTTGCTGAAGAAGAAATGGTTAAAAAGTGTCCTGGGCTCATTGAAAAAATCTTAACAAGCAAAGAAGCGTTAAATTACTTACTTACTTAGTTAAGCATATTAATACATTGTAGAAAATTTCAATAAGAGTTGAAATCCCACCCCAGAGACAACCAGTTTTTATGAATCATTCAAAAGATGCTCTATGCATATAGAAGCATGCATGTAGTATAGTACAAACCCTCTTATCTAACATGAACAATACTGGCAAAAGTAAAAAATAATAAAAGTATATAGATGTTTAACATTTTAACTTAAAATATATAAAGATTTACCAAATCTTTAGATTTAGGATATCACACAGCTGTGAGAATTAAGTGTAAAACACTTAGAACAATGCCGGGCACACAGTATGTGTGTGCATGTGTGTGTTTGGCAATATTATTAGGGCCAAACTCTCCTTTCCCCCAATAGGGGTGGGAACCTGCTGCCTCAAGGTCACCTGTGTGCAGAGGGAAGATGATGTGAAGACATAAGGGAGAAGACAGTCGTGTAAGTGGAGATTTGTGTCTGTAAGTCAAGGAATGCCTGAGGCTGCTACAAGCTAGGAGGAGAGGCATAAAACAGCTTTTCCCTAGCATCTCCAGAGGGAGCATGGCCCTGCCGACTCCTTGATTTTGGATTTCTGGCCTCCAGAACTGAGACAATTAATTTCTTTTTTTTTTTTTTTTTAAAGACAGGGTCTTGCTTTGTCACCCAGGCTGGAGTGCAGCGGTGCAACATAGCTCATTACAATCTCCAACGCCTGGGCTTGAGCAATCCTCTTGACTCAGCCTCTTGAGTAGCTGGCACTACAGGTGTGCACCATCATATCCAGCTAACTTTTAAATTTTTTGTAGACACAGGGTCTCACTATGTTGCCCAGGCTGGTCTCAAACTCCTGTCCTCAAGTGATCCTCCTGCCTCCGCCTCCCAACGTGCTGGGATTACAGGGATGAGCCACTGTGGTTGGCCAAAATGAATTTCTGTTGTTTTATGCTGCCCAGCATGTGGTATTTTGTTATAGCAGCCCTAGGAAAATACTGGGTCTTTTTACTTTCGGGTCCTACTCCTTTAGAATGATCTTTCCCCAGATCTTATATGGGTACCTCCTCTTTATGTGTTACCTTTCAGAGAAGTCTTCACTGACTCCTGTCCTGGTTTTCTAAAATAATCTCCTTTCCCCAAGTTATTTTCTATTACCTCAATGTATTTTATGCACAAGACTTATCATTATCTGAAACAATCTTATTTGGTTGCATGTATACATTTACTGTCTGTCTTTCTTATCACTCCTCCCTCCACTTGAACCAGAAAGTAAAGTCCTGAGGGCAGGAACTCATTCCAGTTCACCATTCCCCTCCCAGTGCCCAGAACAGCACCTGCAACATTGCAGGCACTCACTCAATTGTTGACTGGTGGCTGATCGCTTCCCTGTGTCCTAGGCAACAGAGTACATTATCAAACTTTCTGATCTTTGTTGATTTGATAGGTAAAAAATTGTATCTTAGTGGTTTTAATTTGTATGAGTGAGATTGAGTATATTTTAATATGTTTAAAAGCTATTTATACTTTCTCTTTTGTGAAATGTATATGCTGTCCCTTGCCTATAATTTTCTAGGGTTGTTGATCTTTTTCTTATTGATTTATTTGAAGGGGCTCTTTCTAAAGAAATTAGTCCTTTGATATGATTTGTAAATATTTTTCCCTAATTTACAATTTTACTTACAGTATATTTTGCAATGCAGAAAATGTTTACAGACTTGAGTTTACCAATTTTTCTTTTATGGCTTCCTTTATATAATACTTAGGAAGGATTAGGTAGTGTGAGCTCAGTAAATACCTCCATCTAGCCAAGCACGGTAGATACTGCTAGGCGTTCACCAGTATCCATTTCCCCCTTCTCCAAGGTTAGAAATTACTGGCAACCTAGCTAGAGACTCTACTCACAGCCTTTCTTCTAGTTTGGTGTGGCCATGTGACTAAGTTCTAACCAGGGAGAGCGGGATATGGACAAAAGCCATGTGCACCACTTTTGAGTCATACTCTAAAAAGAAATGTATTTGTCCTTATATGGCTTTTCCTCCTTTCTCATTGCTTGAAAGACAAGATTGGAGCAGCTCCCTCGGATCTAAAGATGGACACCAGATGATGAAGATGGCAGAGCTGCTCTACCAGTCCTGGATCCCTTGACTGTTACCCAAGAGGGCTATACACTTCTATCCTGTTTAAGCCATTGTCTATTTGCGCCTGTGTTTCAGTAGTTTATTACAGATGCCCTAAGAAATACACCAAACACTCATAATCTGAGGAATTTGTTTATTTCAGATGAACAAGTCCTGCCTTAAATACCACTATTAGTTTTTATTTTTTGTTTTTTTTAAAAAGTAGATCTTGAGTTTCTTTAATCTGTAGTTATACTTCACTCTAAACTGGTTATATATTTTATTTTTCTTATAATTCAAAGACCGACAGGTCATCTTTGACAAATCATGACTAGAATTCCATTTAGAAAAGGTTTCAACGAACGCAGCAATCAAGGTAGAAAGGAAAGAAGGTAGGATGCTTATTTGTCAGCTAATCTCTGCAACTCCATGAGGAAGCAAGTATTAATATCATACTCTTATTTTGATGAAAAGACAGATTCTAAAAAGGAGAATTGCCTCAGGTCTCACAGTTAATGGGTGGCATATCTGCGATTCAAACCCAGGTCAGCATGACACATAACACACTTCTGCTGTACCATGCTTCCTTTATGGGAGCCACCGCTCGATGACTGCTGCTTCAAATATGACTATTTTAGAGTCTGTTTCCACAAAGGCTTAAAACGCGTACAATCATTTTGTGTGTATATGTATTTGTATCATATTTTAACTGAACAGATCAAGCAATTTCAGAGAACTTAAAGTACAGTCACACATATCATAGTGTTATTGGTTCATCCAAAAAGCAGAGTAAGAAAGCTGACAGTATAACTTTTTATCTGACACAGAAGGATGCAGGACTAGAGTGGAAAGGAGCAAGGCCAAGGATGCTCGCTCTTCATCTAAACCCATCTCTATTTAATTTTTAACCATTGTATGTATTACCTTGGTAATTTAAACATGTATATAAAATGTAAAATATAAAGTAAAACATATACATCCTTTCATATATATTAAGTAGAACCATATGAAATTGCCATTTTTGTAGATTATTGGTAATATGCTTCAACCTAATATGTGGAAAAGGAAATATACAGAAAAGAAAACATGGACTTGGAATCAGAAGAATCTGTGTTTGAGTCCTTACGTCACCGTTTATTAGCTATGCAAATTCGGGCAAGTAACTTAATCTCTTTGAGCCTTGGTTTCCCTGAAAATGGAGAAAATGATACCTAATTTTAGGGTTGTTCTTAGGCATAATATATGTAAAGCTCCCAGAGCAATGCATAACGAAAAACAGGAATTTAATGAATGGTAGGATATGGACATATATAGTCCCCAAACTAATATAAATAAGGCTATTATGTACAGTGATAGTGAGATGAAGATTCTTGAATAATATTTTAATTTATAACTGCAGATTCTTCCTCATATTTGCCATGGTAATTTAAATTATTGCTGCAAGTGTGAAGTGAAACTGCATATGTTATCATCGTTCTAATGATAAAGATAAAGCAGAGCTAAATAAAGTGAGTCACTGACTATGCAACTAACTACGGTTTCTGAAGGGGGAAAGTAACAGGCTGTTTTTATACCTTCCTCACAGATACTCTGCAGACGCAAGGATCCAGGATGCCCGTGGCGGCACTTGCACTCATTTTGCACATGAACGAGAACTTCTTTCTCCAGTGAACACAGTTCGCTTGCACCACCTCCCTGAAAGAAAGAAAAAAAGAGCCAATTAATTATTATCGATGACATGTTAAAAGCACACCCACGCTTTCGCGCAAGTCTATAATACCAAAGTGACATATTAAAAGCCAGTATTTATAAATAGTGGAACAGGAAGAAAACAAATTCCTAACAATGTGATCTGAAAATCTTTGGAAAGTTTCATTGATAACTATCCACAGGAAACTGAAAAAGAGTGAGTTTACTTATCAATTCAATCAATATAAACTGAGGCTTCACCATTCATTCAACACAGAATGAACATTTATGTGCTGGGCACATGGTAGATGTTTAAAATATAAAAATGAGGACAAGCCAGGTACAGGGTGGTTCATGCCTGTAATCCTAGCACTCTGGGAGGCCGAGGTGGGAGGATCCCTTGAGGTCAGGAGTTCGAGACCAGCCCGAGCAAGAGTGAGACCCCCGTCTCTACTAAAAATAGAAAAATTACCTGGGCGTTGTGGCATGTGTCTGCAGTCCCAGCTACTTGGGAGGCTGAGCTAGGAGGATCGCTTGAGCCCATGAGTTTGAGGTTGCTGTGAGCTAGGCTGATGCCACAGCACTGTACTCAGGGCAACAGAGTGAGACTCTGTTGCAAAAAAAAAAAAAACAAAAAACAATGACACAGTTCCTAACCTTGTAGGGCTTATGTTTATAGTTAATGCAAGAGGCAGAAATACAAACAAATACTTATTCTAGGTATAAACAAATACTCATTCTAAGATGAACTACTGTCACAGTTTTACTTCAGCCATAATAGCAATCGCAGCTACCATTTATTGAGAGCTTACCACATGCCATTTCATCTCCCAACAACCCTACGAGGTAGCTGGCATTTTCCTCACTTTATAGATACGGAAAATGAGGCACAAGGAGAGAAGTTAACTTGAGGTCATTTTGTCAGGAAGCAGCAGAACTGGCATTGAAACCAGGCCTGTTTAACTCTAAAGCCCATTTGTCCACAAAGGAAAATCTATATCTTTCCAACAACTTTGTTCTTTCAAGTTTCCAGGGTTTTGTACGTGCTGTTCTCCCTGCTATTCTGTGTAGGTATCTGGGACTCAGCCTTAATTATTCCTCTACCATAGGCAGAAAAGAAAGAAAACAGGTGAAAATAAAGAGAAAATTGGAGAAAGCAAAAGAGAAAGGCAAGAGAGCCCAGGTTGAGCAGTTTTGAGTTTCTTAAGAAAATAAAAAGTCAGTTCTGTGGAGCGATAGGAACTGATGGGTGAGTTGAAAATTTAGATAAAAGCTTAAAGACAGGAAAACTGGTGTGGGGGATGTGATTGGGAATCAACCTGTAGCTGCATCAGTGAGTAAGACAAATTC